GTTAGTTATTACACTAGAATCCTTAAAGACTCACAATGCGCATCCAAACGCTAATTTCTCCAGTACTAGACTAGCAAATACTTCGTGTCATGCATAATCATACTACCTTATAGCAAAATAAACTCTAGTTCCTCCCATTTCACTGCGCGTTGTCTTATAAAAGGTATTTTGAAAATACCTCCAATGTTGTTGACAGTTTCCCCAATCCCCAAGCAACCGTGCAGCGGTGCTGCGGTACAGCGGTACGGCAGCAAAAATAAAAACATGTGACGTCACGTCACCACTTCAAGGCTATTTTGTTTGGCAAACAGTTGGCGTTTGCGCCAGAATGCCAGTTTTCTCACTCTCTTCTTGTGGGTTTTAAGCAAACGCGCAGTGAAATGGGAAGCAACTAGAGTTTATTTTGTCATAAGGTAGTGTGATTATGCATGACACGAAGTATTTGCTAGTCTAGTACTAGAGAAATTAGCGTTTGGATGCGCATTGTGAGCCTTTAATTACTGACCCTGAAATAGAACAAGTCTCACAATTATTTACCTTGGCCTTGTTGTTACACATAGGCGCGCGGTTCACCTTGACACTCCTATTGTTCGCCGCGCGCTGCCCTGCGCGCTGACCACCCCTTGTGTGTGACCAACCGGTTTTGGCCACACAGCCTACTGACTGCTGCTGCTGCTGCTGCTCGTCGCCTGCCATGCATTGTTTATGGTCGCTGCGCAACGGCTGTGTATGTAAACTGGTTTTGTTGCATGTGTGCGTCAGTCTGTCTGTACAAGTATTTTCGCAATTAAATTGCTCGCCATGGATGCCGCGGTTCGTGCCGCTAGATGGCGGTGCGCTATTTACAATTATTGGCGTATTTTTTAAATGTGTGTTTCTGCGACATTGTGCGTCAACAGATGGCGCTGTTTGCCGGCGTTTGTGTGCGTTCCAGTCGACTGCACTCGGCGCGCGGCGTTGGCGCGCACACGTGACTCGAAAGCGCTCCGCGTGCGTGTCTGTGTGACGCTGCGCGTGACGGCGCACAGCGCTGGCGACACTCGTCACGGCAATTTTGGGTTCTGTGAAAAAACCAGAATTAGTTAGTACTGTTTTACGTGTCCCCGTTGCGCTCGGCGGCTGAGACCGTAACTGTGTATTGCCCCGTGGTGGATGTGGACACGCGATGCGCGTTGATCTATCTACGCGCGTAGTCATGTCGTTGCCCTTGTCACCCCGTCGCATCTGTACGTTAGAAAAATGTACATTATTATTACCCTCACGCACGTAACGCTGTGCATGTAGATGTGTGTTATCCGCCGGGCCTCCGTATCTCTGTGTCCTAACAAAATTATTTGTAGACCTGTTAGAAGCTGGTAAATAAAAGGCATTATTTATTATACGAGCATACGGTAGTGAGCGCGCAGATATCGGGTTAGGGGTACTATGTGATTGTGTGAGGTCCAGCCCAACTGTATTCACATAACTCTGACCCCTGTAATTAGACTTTCCAATCTGTGTGTGTGTTCTCCCCGTTCGGAGCGCAGCTGCAGGAAACAAAGCCGTGTGATTAGTACCAGCGTAATGTACTCTATTGGTTACGCTCGCCAGTGGAGTGCTAGCAGCGCGCCTGCTAATTGCCGTGCCCTTCCTGTGCCCATTGCTGTCTCGCGCAGCACAAACAAACTCATTAGACACAGCTGCAACCGGGTAGGATTTAACAATAGGTGGCCTGCCCGGCTGCCTCCTCCCATCCACACTGTTACTAGACCCATTATCACTACCACACACGTTCTCATCGCTAACAAGACTAGGTGATACATAATTAGACCACGAACAGTGGCCCGGTTTATGCACGACAACAGGGTTCTGTTGACACCCCGCGCTTTGCTGCGTCGGAGGTGTGTGGCGGTTTCTGCCGTGCTGCCGTGACTGCCATTGCCACTTCGACCCTTCTGACCCCCTCTGTAAATAAAAGGCCCATTAGTCGGCGATCTCGTTGCAATTACCGTCTGGACACAGCCATTGTGCGCGGGCAACGCAGCTGGCACTGCGCGTCTGACCTGGACGTAATGTGTCAGTCTAACAATGCAACCTCTCGGTAAATTACGATACAAACGCGTTGGGTTATACAATGGAACATGTGTCCGCTTACCGTGACATTTTCGCACTGCTTGTGGTGGTAATATCACCGCTTGATCTAAACGCACATACGAAATCGACATAGATCTATTCGTATCTATGTGAACTGTTCTATCACGAATGGTTAGCTTATTTAAACTAAAATCTAATTTTACACTATGGGCGCCGAAGAAGTTGTACCCGATCAACATACTATGTGACAAATTCTTAGCTATGTGAAATACATGTGAAATTTCATAGCCCGCTAATATTACTATCAATCGCACGGTCCCCACCACGTACAGATTATTACCCGTGACTGCCTTTAAAATCTGCGTCGAACCAGAGACAAATGAATCGCGATATGTGATTCGTAACTTAGCCCATAAATCCTCACTGACCACACTGACCGAAGCGCCCGTATCGAGACATTCCTGTACGCTAACGGCCCCCACAAAAATTACACACGACGGCATGATTGCTTCGTGTTCCCCCGTCAATGTACGCATGCGAGACTCCAACACCGTGGCTACTCTTATCGTCTCACCTTCATAAAAGTAGCGTTGTTTTTTAGCTGCGAGCTAGCGTGTGTATTTGAATTGCTACGGCTGTTTTGCATGTGCCAATTAAACCATATATGATCGATTTCTCCGCATAACGCACGAATGGGTTTCCCCTGAGGAGTGAAAATGTATCGTGTGTTTGGCCTAGGTGTTATCAAAGGCTGTGTACGCTGCCCTGTTTGAAACTGCCGCCTCATTGGGGGTTGTGATTGAGCCGATGATATATAGTGCTGATTGTATTGTGTCGCGCGCTGTGATGGAATTTCGCGCGTAGGTGGGATATATTGCTGTCTGCGAGCCGCGGGTGCGCCTTGCTGTCGCTGATATTGTGGAAAATTACGTGCTTCGCTGCGCGGTATGTCATAGCAATTATTAGGGCTTGGGTGATATTCCCGCGGCGCTGCCTCAATTTGCTTGTGCGTTAATTCGGATACCATCTTACGTAAATCTTCAATTTGCTGTGCCATGATTGGTGCCGCACTTATACTCGCAATTTCAGTGACCTCCCGCTGCGGTGACCGTATCTTAATTTCTAAATCGACCGCGGCTTGTGCACAAGCCATTTGAACGGCCTTCACAAACGTTGGAGGTTTATTCTTAATTAATTTTCCACGTAGAGCATCACTGAGAAGTCCGTCAACAAACTGATCAGTCATACGTCCATTATGCGTCACATCCGTTTCAAGCTGAACCCCAAACGCTATGCGTGAACTCGCCTCCAAGCGTTTTGCAAAGGCTTGAATAGATTCACCGTGTTTTTGTCCCATTTAAATTTTTGTTTCGCAATAACCGCCGCTGCCGCGTCCGCGTACCTCTGCCGAAATATTTGTAACACATGCATCCAGCTGATTGCTGGATGCACGCTCAATACTTCCGCCAGATACTGGGCCGGTTCGCCATGGAGAAGCCTTAGAGCCAGACGTACCCTACGGGTGTCATCATTCTCGTTTAAAATAAAAAAACAACTGCTCCAAATGAACCAGCCATTCGCCAAAAGGTATCGGTGAACTAGCTGTGCCATCGAACGGTAAATACCGTCCCAGCAACACTAATGATTGAATCTCCTTGAGCAATAATTTGAAACTCGAGTCAGGAAAACTGACTTCAAAATCGTCAGTCGACCGCGTAGCGTCTAAGGGTTCGTCGGTTGTCAAGATTGGGTTGTCTATGTTCAAATCAGATAAATTTGCCAACAATGGATCAACCGTCGGCCGCTTAGTCGCCATTTTGAACGTATATTTAAAACGTAATCGTCCGTCAAACAAGCGTCCGTATCCCACAACGTACTTCAAACAACAGATAATAATATTCCGCATAATATATCCAAACTACAAGACGTGCTCCATAGATTATAAGCAAATTCGATGCACTTACATATTATGGCGATGACGGTGGCTCGTAGACGCAGACGGTGATATCGGAATGCAGTCGAGTCGTAGTTCGACGTCAATGCAGCCTCGGCGACTTACAATATCTCAGAAAGAACACAAATGTTAATATACACGAAACAAACATAGAACATAATGTGCTACAACGATATCTCCATACGCACTAGTCACTTGCACCAATTGTAATAATGCTTCTCTTACTATCTCGGTACCCCCGTGATCGTATGGTGGTAATGCGTAGTGTATTAGAAATATCGTCGTGCACAAACTTCATATAAAGCACATAACGCTAGATGCACGTATTTCAGACACAAACATCTTTACTAGTTACGTTATATTACACATAGCAAAGGTACTCCGGTACGGAGTACAAACAGTACAAATAGTTACGCGGCATATAAAATCTAACTTACGAAAGTTGTCGGAGTCGGTAAATAATAACGGCACAGTACGGTGATAAGCTGCGTGTCGTTACGTGGTGGCAAGATAGTAGACCCTGTTTCTTCGGCTCTGACTGTTTTATACTGCCGCCCGTTCTTTGTCTCACGTCCCGCTCTCCCAGTGGACGTCGCTGCCCGCGTGACCACTGGTCAAGCACGTGACTACCCTTCCGTTGTTCCCGGTTCACGGGCGGGAGCTAGACACGCCCAACGCCCTGCATTCCGCATGAGACAAAGCCCTTTGTTTCCACTTTCATATTACTGACTATTTCTGACTAATTCTTTTTATTCTTATTATTATTAATCTCCTTATTACAAGGTCCGTCCGCAGTTCCCCCACCGCTATTATCTCCTTTCCTTGCGCGTCCACTATACTAGTCACTGCCTGATGCTGGGCAAGCCCGCCAAAAGGTAGTGCTGCATAGGTTGCGTAGTCAAGGAGAGATAACTCTGCACCGGTGTCAATAGTAAAATTAACCCCCGGCCACCTACTTCTATGGGTAATTGCCATGCAGCCTCTGGCTGTGCCATGGAACTCCCTGAAGCTGGGTGTTGCAGGTCCTCAAGCGATGCTGCGAATGGCCCCGCCGCTACTCGTTTCCCGACCTCTGCTGCCTGGCATCCTGGCCCTCAGCATTCCGAGGTCTACGAGCGTGGTAATGGTCTCTCCTTCTGATCTTCCGCCAGCGTCAACAGGAGAGGAAGTCTCCCCTGACTCAGCTAACTCAACGGGTGTGCCCGGAGCTGTTGCTGGTCGTGCTTCTGCACGCTCACTCCTTCTACCCGGTAACTGCAGGTTCGGAAACGTTTTCACGCCTCTTACTTCCGCAGCGGGAAAGAAGGGGAATGCGTTTTCGAGAAGCGAGACTCCCTCCATCCTCTTGGATCCCGTAAGCAACCGAGCTGTGGGGTGCGAGGTGGCTCTCGGCTCGGGGGTGGTGCGGCTAGCGCCCTTCCCCTGGCCTCATCTGCCAGCTCCCCAGCAGTATGCTCTGCTTCGGTATTCATCGTGTTGGGAGGCACGACACCCTCTTCCTCCACAAGCGAGGTAGAACTACGGGGCAACGATGTTGCTCGCCGGGTTCTTTTTCCTCTAGCTTGCCCTTGGCGGGTAGTCATTGGCATCACGTGTCAAGACTATGGGGAGGTGTATATGCTCTCCGTTCGTATACAAAGTGAGGTATGAGTAGGGCTGATGGACAGTGCCAACAAGCAAAACTCAGTGACGACACTTGCACACGAATTCTCACCTCGCTCAGCGAGCTATACTCGTGGACTCCCTCGGGGACTGATGTGTTGCTACCTTTACAGAACACTGCTCAGGCTGCAACTCAGTCTACCGAACTACAATCCTGGTCACGGCACCAATGCAACGATTTTACGTCTAGTTGTGACGACGAATGAAGGTTCGACCACTGGATTGTAGTGTAAGAGTCAACACAAGAAATAGCAACACGTAAAAACCAGAACAAGCTGATAAAAGTGTTCACGCCGGGAATAGGCCCGGGGCTTTTATTCGGCCTTAGTCAACAGACTAAGGTAAACTAAAAGATGGTGCACAGAATCCCATACAGCGTTGTCGCTGGGGTGCAGAAATATACACGATGAACTGAACAGCTAAACAGTACTAACTAACACCCTGTAGTGAGTTGCTTGCCCTGTGCAGGGGTTAACTAGATACTGGTATGCTTACGTGATCCGTGAAGATGAGGCGCTCCTGCTTGTGGCTGCAGTGCTGGCTTGACCCGTTTCGGTCGCTCCAGATCGTATACTACTCCTCTCTACTGAGAGCAGAGCCCAGTATTTATACTACAAGCTCAGCGTTGGTAGGGCTTCTTGCCTGCCCATCATGCCTCACGAGAGACGCGTGATCAAGTCATGTTTTATGTCACGCACATCACATGACAAGCCACACATCACCCCACAGGTTTCCTTCATACAACCGGTGGGAATCACGTGATCGATGTCATAACCACCAAGGATGCTGTACATCGACCTGGGATGCTGACACACGCGACAGGACGATAGGATGCGGGGATTCGTTAGCTTAGTTATTCTCCCACTGTTCTGATTTTTCTTCACCAAAGCATGGCTTCGTGTACGCCGTCTGCGGCCCGACTACGTTCATCAACGGGGAGTTCAC